AAAAAAAAAAAAAAGAGTGAGTGTCACCATAGTAAAGTTCTCTGTCTTAGCAACTATCATGTCCCAGTAACTGAGGATATGCTTAATATTTAGAGCTGGGCTGTGGTGGCCCACGCCTTTAATCCCAGCACTCGGGAGGCAGAGCCAGGCGGATCTCTCGAGTTTGAGGCCAGCCTGGTCTACAGAGTGAGATCCCGGACAGGCACCAAAACTACAGGAAGAAACCTTGTCTCAAAAAACAAACAAACAAAAAATTTAGAACATGACACATTATTTTCTTTGAGGTATAAAAGCACTATTTGATTGTTATTTCTCAGCTTCTATGCAGATTCTTATAATCGTTAGAAATATGGGAAATAACAAATGCAAGATCTACAGTATTTTACTACAGAAATGTAAAAAGGAAATTATTCACCTCTGTTTCAGATTTTATCCGTTGCCATAGCAAGTGATACGTTTCAAATCGAAGTTTACTGTCCTCAGACACATGTTTCTCATTATTAAAATAATCCTCTAAAAAAAAAAAAACAGAAAGTCAGTTTGTTTTTTTAACACAATAAAATTAAGAAACTGTGTGCAGAGACACACAGCATGGAGCAGGGGTGTCAAAACATTTTCTACAAATCAAAAAATTGTGTATTTATGTATACATCTTTCTCTGTACACTTGAAGAAATATAGTTTATCTTTTGTATTTAATTTTATGTCTCATTTGTATCATATTAAAAAGGATATTTAAAATTTTAAAGTTCTACTGCTTACTAATGAATCTCTAAGCTTCTACTTAATGATTTTCAGTTCAAGATGTACATATACAGCATTAGTTTCATCCACATCTTCATCTTCTTTACCTTACATGATTACTTTCAACTCATCACTATTCAATAATTTTTCATACTGTCTTTGTTCCATTGACATAGTTTAGTCCCGTCTTTGATTTAGTATGTATTCTTTTCTTTTTTGTTGAAAGTACTTGCATTGCTAAAGAAAGCAAGAGGGTTTTGAATCCCCTTGACTGGAGCTAACAACAGATGCTGTGAGCTGCCATGTGGGTGCTGGGAATCAACTCCAGGTCCTCTAGAAGGGAGCCAGTGATTCTAACAGTTGAGCCAGCTCTTTGCCCTCATATGTATTATTTTATATTCTTTTAAAAATATTTTCTCCAAACATCTATTGATTAAAATATTTTTATTGCAATTGTTTTTCAAAGTTTAAAAACCATGTGTATCAAGGAATATATTATTTTGAAATTCTAACAAATATATACCTAGTAGATACAAAAATAAGAGTTCCATAAAGCAACTTTTTTTTTTTCTCATCCTATTGTAGCAAATATGCTCTATTTCAGTGTACTGAAGTGATTCCATAACTTGTAACAGGTTATGACCTCTAATTTGGAAAGAGCAGAAACTCATTATTTATTCACTATTCTGCCCTTCCTTCCATTGATCTGATGCTCTTTTAGTCTAACATTAATGTATACTTTGAACTGTTTTTGAACTTTCACATTTGTTCTATTGTTCAATTCTATTTCCACACCAATTCTCCTCCACTGTCAGCAAACAATTTTATTCTTTATTTTTTTTTTTTTTTTTTTTTTTTTTGGTTTTTCGAGACAGGGTTTCTCTGTGTAGCTTTGCGCCTTTCCTGGAACTCACTTGGTAGCCCAGGCTGGCCTCGAACTCACGGAGATCCGCCTGCCTCTGCCTCCCGAGTGCTGGGATTAAAGGCGTGCGCCACCACCGCCCGGCTAATTTTATTCTTTAATTAAACAAAAACATGGGGGTAGAGAGGTTGCACAGCAATTAAAACACTTGCTGCTCTGGCAGAGAATCTGGGTTGGATTCCCAGCACCCACAGATGCTGAAGCATCTGCAGCTACACTTCCAGGATATCCAACACACTCTTTCAGCCTCTGCAGCAGGCACCAGACACGTGCACAATGTATGGACATACACACAGGCAAAAATACACACATAAAAATAAAAAAATCCCAAAGAAAAAAGCCATGCTATGAAATCAATAGTGATCTTAGCACATCTCAAAAATAATTAACACTGGTATACTAACTGAATCAAACCAAGTTTACAGATTGAGCTGGAAAACAAACAACAATTCTTAAATGGTTATAAAAATTCATATCCAACTCAAAGATAAATGTAATTCCACTGCACAGCAAAAGTATTCCAAGTCTGAAGACAGTTTAGGCCCTAAATAACTAGATATATTTAACTTAAAACTGTATTTAAAAACACGAATGGCTTGGCCCTTACTCAAACATTTGTTCCTTACAATTCCCTACTTTTTCACATTTGTATTTTCCTCAATCTATTTTACATCCTTTAGTTGGAGCATCCTTCAGGAGCGTTATGTCTTGAATTGGTCATTTGGAATATATTTTCTTTCATATGAAGGAATGTTCCTCATAATAGATGACTTAGTTTCCACAAGTATTTTAATTTTGTCAAACATTTTGCAACAAAATAAAGTCATCATAATGTCTAGATGGCAAAGTTATGTTATTAAGATGCAAAAAAGAGAATGCACAACAATCTATTAAAAGATAAAGCAGACTATTAGGGTGGCCTTAAACAAACAAAAAGTCATTTTACTGGGTAGGCTGGTGATAAAATGCTACACCGCAAACAAAGGCATGAATGTATGTGCCGAGTCTATCAAAGTATGCAGTGAAAATAATCTTGGGAACTGGGACACAGCAGCAGTGGGACACCAGTCTGTGAGTGTCACCTCTCTCATGGCCCTTCCGTGAGCACAGTGAGGAGCTGCAGACGGAAACTAGCCTGCTGCCAAACTTCCCTCCCCTGTTGTTGCTGCTGCTGCCGCCACCAGCCTCTCTCTTCTCCCAGCTTCACCCGCCGTTTCGGTAGACCTGCAGTATTCCACAAACACTACTAAGTGCGGGGATTTGCCGGGTTTTGCTTAGGGATGCACCGAAATGTCTTAAGTCCAGGGACATATGGTGGGCAAAATACAAACTACCCCCTTCTCTCCAATCAGCTTCAAGTATTGAAGCCAGTTAAGGTAACTGCTAAAAGTGGGAATGATTTTCCTCATCTCATCTCTCTTATAATCAGTCAATTCCTTAAACTTTTCAAACTGTAGCAATACCTATTAGTCTTAAACCAAATACAATGAAAGAAAAAATTTAAAAATTCTAAAGCAAAGCTCAAATTATACTGCTGTACACATAAAATGCTGATATTACAAACTATTAATAAATCTTAAGTTACAACTGAAATCCAACATAAAAAGTCCTATGCAGGGGCTGGAGAGATGGCTCAGAAGTTAAGAGCACTGACTGCTCTTCCAGAAGTCCTGAATTCAATTCCCAGCATCCACTTGGTGGCTTACAACCATCTGTAATGAGATGTGGTGCCCTCTTCTATGTACATAATAAATAAATAAATCTTAAAAAAAAAAAAAAGTCCTATGAAAACACTTGCTTCACATTATGAAATGGTATCATAAAACAATGGTTAGACCATGGGGTCTAAAATCAGAGGATGGGTTCAAATCCTAGCTCTACGATGTTTACAACATTATAATACTGAGAAAGTTCTTTCTGTCTATGTATCCTTGTATATGGTAATGGAAATACTACTACACACCCCCAAAGTTTGCTGAGGGGATTAAATGAACAAAAATGATTAGAACAGTCCAGCACATAATAAATGCTTAAAATACTACTACCAAATTTGCTGTAATCACATTGCTGTAGTTTCAGACATCACTGTATGGAATATGTCTCACATACAATGAAGGAATAAATCCTTAATTTTCTTTAAACTATTTCTGGTAAGTTGAATCACCTCCAACATTAAGAAGGTTTGCTCATAATCACACTTAAACTTTAAGAAGATCTGAGGGAACAAAAAATAACAAACTGGATGTAAAGATACTTTACCTATTGGCACAGAGATCTTTCTTTTCTTGAAGTCTGGTTTAAACACAAAACAGCCCTATTTAAGCAAAAAGGGAAGGAAGGAATAAAGCAAAAAGTCACATTAGGCAAAGCAGACAAATCTAATTACCCAAATACTTTGGAAATAAACAAGATCTTTAAAAGGGGAGTTGGGGTAGGGTATATTTCTTTCAGGTTCTAAGAAATCCTAACACTTTTCTTTGAAATACAGAAGGGAAGAGGCTTCAAGAATTATCCATTTCACCTGTAGGGCCCTGATGTCGTCCCCCCCCCCCTTTGGGTAACTGTTGCCTTGCTTGCTGACCTTGATATCCGTCCTATGCTAATTCCCTGCCCGGTTCCACCCTCCTGATTAAGGAAAGTTCCTTGTCTGTGTATCCTGCATAATGGGGGTTAACAGCTTAGATGCAAGATTGTAAAACATCAGCAGCGAACTTCTGCCCTCTGGGGTTCTCCCATTGTGCTGCAAGCCTGTATTTAAGATCTCCAAGACAGGCGGTGGTGGCGCACGCCTTTAATCCCAGCACTCGGGAGGCAGAGCCAGGTGGATCTCTGTGAGTTTGAGGCCA